ACGTTACGTTACGTTCGTACGTTCGTTCGTTCGTTTACGTTCGTTTACGTTCGTTACGTTCGTTACGTTCGTTACGTTCGTTCGTACTCTCTCTCTCTCTCTCTCTCTCTCTCTCTCTCTCTCTCTCTCTCTCTCTCTCTCTCTCTCTCTCTCTCTTTTATCCATGCTCCATCTCTTCCTTGCTGGTAGCTGCTTTGGTTGGGGTTGGCTTAAATTCCCTTCCTCCCGCTCTCTCTCTCTCATTCATGTCTTATTTCTTATATTGTTCAAACTTTTCTCACAGGTGCATTGGCGGAGGAGGCTCAAAAGATTGCATCCACATACAGTGATGTTTTGACTGCCACAATATTGAACGAGGATCAATGCAGGGAGTTGAAGATGGGTTCTTATTTGGGTGTCGCTGCTGCATCTGCTAACCCCCCTCATTTCATTCATATTTGTTATAAACCTCCAGGTGGGAATGCAAAGACTAAGTTAGCCATTGTTGGAAAGGGATTGACATTTGACAGGTTAGCTATTCATCTTCATGACATATTTATATTTTTTTTAACATTTTATTTCTATATCCTTTCATTTATAAGCATTAAATTTACTAACTACGAGAGGAACACTTGGATAGGATTAGCCATGGAAATGATTTTTTTTTCTCTCGAGATTGGAAAAGTGCGCTGATTTCTAATTTACTAAACTTATGCATGCTCTGTGTGCCTCTCCATCTTGCTTAATCACGAACACCTATTTATATGCATGTTTACATGTATTGTTTTTTATAATACTACATTGGCTCTTAATGCTCTTGCCCTTAAGTTAAAAATAGTTTCCCTCATCCTTTTGTCATTTCTAGAGTTAGACTAGAAATTATTGGTAGTTGAGATTTGAGAAGATATTATCATCCACATGAGGCATCTCATGACTCACATGTGGCCCTGTAATGCTAGCGGTTATATAAAAGGCTCTATGATAAAAAAGGTGTTATGCTCATCAGTGTCCACAGATGCTTAGAATGATTAACAAATTTAACACTGGGTGGGTATTATAGCAATTGTGTGCCTGTTGCATGCTTTGCACTAGAAAATGGTCAAGTGTCTGCTGTCTACTGATTAGAAAAATAAAAGAACTATGGCGTTTCTATTTGAGTTGGAAAGTAGTATATTGCGAGCTCTCTTTTTCTTCAGCGGGGCTAGGTAACTGCACTGTCTTTGATATTTCATATGTTGTCTTTATCTCGCTTCTGTTAATTTATTCTGAATCATTTACATTCTATCTGATTTTGTTGGTTTCTTGTTTGCAGTGGTGGCTACAACCTTAAGACAGGGGGATCTTCCATTGAGCTTATGAAATTTGACATGGGTGGCTCTGCTGCCGCTCTTGGTGCTGCAAAAGCCATTGGTCAAATTAAACCTCCTGGTGTTGAGGCAAGTTAATATTTTACCATAATTAGTCTTCTTATTGTTTTAATTAATTCTGGATTCTATGGTAAATTGTTACTTTTATTTTCCTTTTAGGTTCATTTCATCGTTGCTGCTTGTGAAAACATGATCAGTGGAACTGGCATGAGACCTGGCGACATAGTCACAGCTTCAAATGGAAAGACAATTGAGGTAACCACCACTATTTTTGAAAATATCAGAATGGAAAACTCTTTTTGGATTCAGTTTGCGTCCAAAATATAAAGGTGTTTTTTGGCCAGCTTTTTTCTTTTCTCTTTTTCTTTCAATTTTTGTTAAATGATTTCTATTAATTCAAGTTAGAAGTTACAATTGTTGTTCTATATTCTCTATGCAGGTCAATAATACTGATGCAGAAGGTCGGCTTACGCTTGCAGATGCTTTGGTTTATGCTTGCAATCAAGGTGTTGAGAAGGTAGTGCTAACTTCTGTAGCAGATGTTAACATTAGTTCTTAGGATTTTTTGTGGAAACTCATAAATGGTCTGGATTTGATTGGTATTCATGTGCATATTGTTTTTATTAGTTGAAATGTGTGAAATGGATTAATCTGTTGTACACTTCTGATACACATAGACTGCTCTATGCCTTTCACAATTTTCAAAGTATTTGGATGTTTACAAAAGAAGGAAGCCTTGTGACGTAAACAAGTAAATCCGATTGTGTGTGTGGTTCTTTTAGATTTTACATGCCTTTTGCTAACCAAATAGAATTATTGTTGCATACCAAAAATTATCATGAGTCCTCCAGAATTTCTGGTGTACAGAAAGTATTGTGGTATCCACGTGTTTTGAAACTGGAGTTCATTCTCATTTGTGCATGTAGGATGATTCTGATGTGGTTTACTTTTTCAAACTGAGAAATCTGTATTACTTGGACTAAATATGGTTGTAGCATTTTGTAGGTATACACACATATGTGTGTAACAATGTAACTTCATACTGTTGGAAGAACAGATTGCAAATGAAGTACATTGCATTAGGGACGAGACCCATATGGTTAAATCAATCCTAGAGACCCATTCCTGGCTAGTGCAATCGTCCTCACATTTTTGCCCATATGTAAATGCTGGAAAGCCTGAAACAGATATGTGCAAATTGTTAGAATCTCCTGTACAGATGATGTACATGATCCTCCACTGGTTTTTAATGCCCTTCCAACCCTTGTTAGCACATTGAATCCCTTTTAGTCTGCTACCTATATTCATGGCGACAGAGACTAGTTCCACAAAGATCTTGCATATTTTTAGGTTTGCGCAAGATAAATGCCAGAGTTTGCTCTTGAGCCTGAAGATTTGATCATTTGTAGCTGATACTTTGTTTCCTTTATTTGGAAATTGATTTGGATCCAATAGGATTCATGATTCCACATATGGTCGCCGTTCTTGCGTGGTTGACTATATGATCTTAATCAGTGTATATATATATTACTTTTTGTGATAACGGTTAATCAGTGTTTTAAACCCTGGACTTCAGTTGGCGCTCTAAGCTCTTGAGCCCAAGTCAGTCAGGTCGACTTGGCTGAGTCTTAATAAATTAAATAAACTTCGGGAACTTTTGGGAACAAACGAGATTCTGATTCCTAAGTTTTTCACTTTGACCTGGCATCCTGCTTGGTCGGAGACTCGGATTCGGGTCGTTTAAAATGGTGATTGCTGGTTCTAACTCTGTGTGTGTGTGTACCACAATCCAATTTGATCAGAACTGGACTGGACAGCAAGCCGAGAAAGTGTCCGGTTTGTTTGAGCAGTGGTTCAAAATTTCAAATGGTCTTCAAACCGGTTGGATCGATGATAATCTGTTGAAACCCTAAATTCACTGAAAATTACAAAATTGCATATGTTTTCAAGATCTAAATGCAGACTGAACCAGTTAGCCGTCTGGTCAGTAATTCAACTCGTCGGACTGGGGGCTTCATTCGGTCCGGTTCTGATAGCACTATTACAATCTAAGTCCATTTTCTGTTCTAATTGCGTTCTTTGTGGGTCTATCAACTGTGACTTAGAGTATCCAGATTGTTGATGGGCCTTGTTAACCCAGAATCATGGTTTTAATTGCAGTAAGTCTTGGGCTTTGTTGTCTTTTGGTTTACATTCAATATTTAGTTCCGTGTTGCAATTGCATGCATATAAATTACTTTTCAGATCATCAGTTTGTTGTTTCTCACATGATTTGCATTTTTCTGTATTTTGTATAGATTGTTGATCTAGCAACCCTAACTGGGGCTTGTGTGGTCGCACTAGGGGGAAGTATTGCAGGTATAACATGTAAATGACGTAGTTTGTTTCTTTCTTGTGCATCAATATTTTTTTCAGAACTTAGAGTTTCGTCTTTCTGATTCTGTTGCTTCATACTCGTTTTAGCCTTATAATTTTGAAGATTTATTACTGATTTGCCCATGAAAGTTGTCAAGTTAAGCCAAGATAAATTCTGTTGGGCATATTTTGTCCAGACCAAATCATCCTTGACAGTTCTTCTCCTTTTTTATTAGTTCGCTCCCCGTTAATTGTGATGAAATCATAATGTATGCAGGAGTTTTCACTCCTAGCGATGATCTTGCGAATGAGATTTACTTGGCTTCAGAGATAAGTGGCGAGAAGTTCTGGAGGCTGCCATTAGAGGAGAGCTACTGGGAATCAATGAAATCTGGGGTCGCTGACATGGTGAACACGGGGGGTCGACAGGGTGGCTCCATTACTGCTGCTTTGTTCCTAAAACAGGTACCAAGCTGGTCCTCGATCTCCTATATCATCACATTTTCTCTCTAGTCTTCACTGTTGCATGTGCTTTGCCTGGGGCTGGTGGCAAGAACCTGATGACTGGGGCCTTTTTTGCTTTTCTTTTTTGTTTGAACCTTGGGGAAACTACTGATCATGAGAGAGAGAGAGAGAGAGAGAGAGAGAGACCTGCTTGACTTGTAACCATCACCGGTTTTGGAATTCGTTAATGGTACGCTTCCTTGTGTGTGTGTGTGTGAGAGAGCAGTTGTATTGTGGTTATGCTTTTAGATATGGCTCCACCTGCTATGCTCCAAAAACAGTGGCACGTGGTGCACTTTATCTGTTTTTTGGAACCCAGGGACTTGTCACCATCACTGGTTTTGGAATTCGTTTATGATACTCTTCCTTGTGTGTGTGTGTGTTTGTGTGTGTGTGTGTGTGTGAGAGAGAGAGAGAGAGAGGGAGCAGTTGTAATGCTTTTAGATATGGTTCCCCCTGCTATGCTCCAAAAACAGTGGCAGTTGTGCACTTTGTCGATTTTTTGGAACCCAGGACCTCCTCTTGGCACACTCGGATGGATGGTCCAGTTTATCTACTCCAGTACCCTTCAGGAATATCTGGACCGTTCATTACCGCATGCTATCTTCTTTACACTACACCATAGGTGGTGTGCAAAATCACTCTTAATTGTTACTAATGGAGAAGCTGCCTTCTTTTTGCAGTTTGTGGATGAGAAGGTTCAGTGGCTTCACATAGACATGGCTGGTCCAGTGTGGAATGAGAAGAAAAAGGGAGGCACTGGATTTGGGGTCTCAACTTTGGTGGAATGGGTTTTGAAGAACTCTTCTTCTTGATCATAGAGTAAAGTCCTATTGCATGATCACTCAATAAAGGTGCAGGTGGGGGATTGAGAGACTGAGACTTTGTTCTGTTTTTTCACAATACAAAAAGGGTTGAATGATATGTGCTGAGGTAAAACATTTGGTAGTTGTTTTGTTGGTTGCTTGAAATTATTTCTTTGATATATGCTGGGTAAGTGGGTCAGTGAAGTTGTGGATGTGTGATGTATGAGAGAGAGAGATGGGAAAAGGTGAGGTAGTTGTCATGCCTAATTATGTAGATGGATAAGCCTGATTAGCCCTTCACCATTTTAAGAATAAATCCACCCCCTCAATCTCCACCTTTTAGGAAACAATTAATACATTTTCTCTAATTTTTCTTGGATAAGCTAATAAATTATTTGCGGTTTAGCTATTATAAGATATAATAGCCATTATAAATGCCACAAGCAATCATAGGGTAGTAGATAAAGCATAAATAATGTCGACACACAAATCATCGTGACTTTGTGAGACCAGGTGCTACTCGTGAAAATGGTCCTCTCGTTTTCTCTACACAACTAGCCAAGAAATACCTGACCTTTTTCCCATCTCTCTCTCTCTCACACACATCTGTGGGAGATCTCACAGAGTAAAAGCTCCTCTCAAATTAAAGTTTACACAGTCCACAAATGCCATGTCTTGAAGCATCCAATGGATGGTTAAGATGAGCGGTAATTTTGTCCAAATATTCCTGCCTTTATCTTTTACAATGGTTTTTGCTTTATGTCCTAGACCTGGATTGAACAAAAATATGATTCTAAAATCTGGATTTTTAATACGTTCTGTTTGCACCTATTAAGTGTTGAGGTCACAGATTTGCTTGATTAAATATTTGTTAAGTTTGGGGCTATTTTGATAAGGTAAATGCGACTGGATTTTTTTATGATGCACTCAGTTCATGGTAAGCTCTCTCCCCCCCACCGCAATCATAAGCCTTAAAATTTATCCAGAGAAATCCGCATATGCTAACTCATTATTTTTGTTCTTTCCATAGGATTCCCTCAATTCCTTCTGTCCAGTCTCGTACCAAGTAAGTAAGAAACATTGTTTTATGTAAGTTCTACTTAAGTAAAAAGTTATAAGGTAGGCAGCTTAAATTGTAGAGCTAAAGGGCACCTCAAAATCTATCAGAAAAGGTTGTTTTGACATTAGAAAACCATCTAATATATAATTTAGAAGTCGAGGTATATGGATATATATATAAAAAAAATATTTCAAGTCCCAAAGATAATATATCTTGTAACATATTATCCGGATTGTCCATGTTCAAGATTTTGATGTGATTGATTTGAACTACTTTTGGAGTTTAAAACTTTCATAAGTACAAATAAAAATAGATTCTCAGACCATCCTAATAATTTTCGACATTAAAGACCCATGAAAAAGTTTAGAGGTGTGTTTTAATTGGATTGCTCAAGGTTGCAACCTAATGCAAATCACATGAACAAGTTTATATAAGGGTGAGGCTTTAAATAATCAAATTAATAAGGCGCACCTCAAAAATTTCACTAGAAGAGTTTGTTGCGATGCTCAAAAACTCTCAAATTGATCATTTTGACCTCAAGATGTATGGACATGAGAAAAAATAGACTTCAAATATTGGAAATAGTGCATCTTGTAATGCATTTTGGACCGTCAATTTTCAAGATTTTCAAGTGCTCATAAATCTGAGCAATCTACCCTATTTTTGAAGCTTTAAAATTTATAATAAGAGATGAAAATAAATTTTTAGACCATCACAAAGTTTTCCAATATAGTAACATCTTTCGACACTATTTGAAGGTGTGCCTTTACTTAATTGGTCACTCTAAATATGAACAGTTGACCGAGTAGCGCAGTGTGGATGGCGATGAGATACAATAATTTTAATGGTTACAACCAGTATCACCATGGATCAAACATGAAGGCATAGCTGTGCAACCCATTCTTTATCAGTTTCAAACATTTATAGACAACGCTGCTTATGTCATGGTGGAAATGGAGCTGTCATACACTATAATTTTTGTAAGGGGAAAAACTTCCTGAACTTCATTTTTTTCTTTCCATAAAGCTATTGTGTTGTGATTTTTAGTCCTTCCGGGTAAGGTAAGGTGCACCTCAAAACTATGAAGAAAATAGAGTTTTGGTACAGCAAAATCCTAATTATAAAATTTAAAGTTTTAGAAATAGTATTGATCAAGTATATTTATAAACACTTAAAAATCTTGAAAATAGACGGTCCAAATTATGTATTAAAAACTATTTTTAGGACTAAAAATCTATTTTTTTCGTTTCTATGAATCCTAAGATCATCAGCACGATCGATTTGAAGGATTTCCAGCCTAACAACTTTTTCTAGTGGGTTTTTAGCCTTCATTGTAGCATAGGAACAACTATCTCTCTAACTTTGACTGTTTTGTTTTTGGTTTTTGGTTTTTGTTTGAGCCTTGGGGAAACTACTGCCCATGAGAGAGAGCAGTTGTACTGTGGTTATGCTTTTAGATATGGCCCCACCAGCTATGCTCCAAAAACAGTGGCAATTGTGCACTTTGTCTAGTTTTGGAACCCAGGGCCTCCTCTTGGCACACTCGGATGGATGGTCCAGATTATCTACTAAAGTACGGATCGGGAATATCTGGACCATCCATTCACGTGTGTTATCTTCTTTACTCTACACCATAGGTGGTGTGCAAAAGCTCTCTTAATTGTTACTAATGGAGAAGCTGCCTACTTTTTCAGTTTGTGGATGAGAAGGTTCAGTGGCTTGACATAGATATGGTTGGTCCGGTGTGGAATGAGAAGAAAAAGGGAGGCACTGGATTTGGGGTCTCAACTTTGGTGGAATGGGTTTTGAAGAACTCATCTTCTTGATCAGAGAGAAAACTCCAATTGCATGATCACTCTAAGGTGGAGGTGGAGGTGGAGGATTGAGAGACTGAGCGTTTGTTCTGTTTTTGCACAATCAAGAAAGGGTTGTATATTATGTGCTGAGCTTACATTTGCTAGTTGTTTAGTTGGTTGCTTGAAATTGTTTCTTTTGATATGTGCTGGGTAAGTGAAGTTGTGTATGTGTCTGTATATGAGAGAGAGAGCGTTTTCTAATGGAATACACTTCACTTCATAATGGTAGAGAGAGAGATTCTTAATTGAATACAGTCTTCATCAAACCGGAGCGATCTAACCGCTAACCGTTCAGTTAGATTGGAACTGCCCATTAGTCGGTTCTGATTTTGAACGGTTTTGGTGACCAACCGATATTTAAAAATAATAATAAAAGAAACATATATAAATTCTCAATAATACGAAATTTAATTTGTAATGCATTTTTTAATATTCGTTACTATTTTGGTAAAGATTAAAAATTGTTTTGGTCATTAATACTCATTTTTATATTTTTTTATCTTTTTCAAAAAAATTTTAAAATACCACTAGACACGAATCGATTTATTAAAATCCATTTTTTTCATTAAGTTTCAATTTCATTTGAATATGTTTTATTGTAATCATTCCTTATATTTTTTTTTTTTTTCTTTTTTCAATAATTTTTTGACCGTTTGGAACTTGTACAGTTAGAACAGTTGAATCAATCGATTTACCGGTTAGACCGATTAAACCGCTTCCCGACCATGTCCTGTAAATCATTGCAATTCAAATTTGCCAACACTACACTCAATTCATGATGGATTCTATGAAATCATGTATGTTTTTCCTAGTTTTGTACGGTTTTATTGAGAGAGAGAGAGAGGGGAACATCAATGTATACACTTCGTCTTATGACGATTCTTACCCCCAGGGGGTAGAGAAAGTTTTCCCATCGTCTCACGATGATCAATAGAGAGATAGAGGGTCTTTTTTCTGAGGTGACTATTTTCTAGTTTGTGAGAGATTTCTATTGGTTGTTTTTTTTAAGGTAAAATATCTCCATAAGTCTATTTTAAATTTTTATTTTTTTTTTAACTTAAAATTTCAAAATTTATCTTTTAACTCTCAAAATAATTTTATTTATTTTTATTTCAACTTTTAATCTAAACAAATTTAAAAAGATATTTTTTTTTCTAGCCCTCATTTACTTCACGTTTTTCTCTCTCTAAACTGTTCTTCCTCTCTGTTTCTGTAACCCATTTCTTTCCAGCTTACAATGGTGGAATCTGGGAGATTGTAGAGAATGTGAAAATATAGAAACTTACAAGCTCTCTCTAAATTATTAATGCATAACCACCTCCACCTTTGCCACATTTGCCACTTTCCGAAGAACTACTGGAGAAGTCTGCCGCTTTCATACGTTCACAGACAAATTATTTTCTCATGGTTTCACAGGATATCACCCTTGGAAAGGACTCGAAGCTCTTTTTCAAGATCGCTGCTTATGTATGGCTAATCTCAGTCACAGGGAGCTGGCTGATTTCCTCACTCTAGGATACACAAGCCTCGTCTTGGTTCTCACTGTCCCAGCATTGTCCGAAAAGTATGAAGATCACATTGCTTCATATGCGGAGAAAGCATACACAGAATTGTTGAAATTCTATGTAAAACTAGATGAAGAGTGCTTCAGCAAGATCAGGAAATCGATTCATCCAAAGACGAAATCAGAATAATATCCTATATTTTTGTGATTTCACAAACATACAAGATTGGTTGGCTTCATGATGCAGAATCTTGATTGTATTTTTTGGGTGCTTTCTTTTTCATGTTTTGCGGAAGAATTTGAAGTTTCGATTGTTTTTTTAGTGAATAATGTATTTTTAAAATTTGTTTGGATAACAAACTTAATAATAAATAAATAAAATATGTTTAGGGGGGGTCGGGAGATGTAATAAAGTGAATTTTTATGCATTAAGATATGTTTTACAATTTTAAGTCAATAGAGAAATAAAAGTTGAAAATGGGTTTATGGAGATTTTTTTGTTTTTTTTTTAATGACCAGCATTTCATCCCACGATAGGAGAGGGGGCTTTTTTTAAAGAAAGAGTTTATATAAGGATACAATCTTATAATGAAGAACTACGGATGCACCTCAAAAATCCATTGGAAAAAGTAGTTTTAATGTTGAAAAACCCTTTCATTGATCATCTCGATGTGTATAACTATGAACAATAAAAATATTTTAAGTATAAAAAATAGTACATTTTATAACATATTGTCTACATTGTCTATTTTCAAGATTTTTATATATTTATGAATTTAT